TGACTCAGCTGCAATGCAAGACACCAGAGACAAGCATGTGAGGAAAAAGCATATATTTAAATGGCTTTCCTGATGCCACCATACTCTATGTAAGCAACTATCCTCTTATAAAATCTCTCCTTCAGAAGTAGTTGCATGGCTGTGAGTCATGGGCTTTTGTTAATAAGCTCAGTGAATGATAATGATACCAAGGAATCAGTCTCCTTGTTGCTGAAAACAGTATTATAAGGGCTTAGAGGTTAAAAAGACACTTTGCTTTATTACAGTACTTTTTTTAAGTTTATTCATTTATTTTGGGAGAGAGAGAAAATGAGTAGGGGAGGGGCAGAGAGAGAAAGTGAGAGAAAGAATCCCAAGCAGGCTCCATGCTGTCAGTGCAGAGCCAGATGTGGGGCTTGAGCTCACCAGTGAGATCATGATCTGAGTCAAAACAAGGAGTGGGATGCTGAACCAATTAGGCCACCCAGGTGCCCCTAAAAAGACAGTAATTTACTTACTTACTTACTTATTTACTTACTTACTTATTTATTTAAATTTATTTTTGAGAGACAGAGAAAGAGAGCAAAGCATGAGTGGGGGAGGGGCAGAAAGAGAGTTCAAAGCAGGCTCTGTGCTGACAGCAGTGAACCCACTGTGGGGCTCAAACTCATGAGAAATGTGCAATAATGATTGGAGCCGAAGTCAGATGTTCAAACAACTGAGCCATGCAGGCACCTCTATGTCCAATAATATTAACGTGTACATTCTTACACATGTCTTCTGATGGAGACACACTTATTTATCTTATATATAAAGCCAGGAATAGGAGTGTGTGTGTGTGTGTGTGTGTGTGTGTGTGTAAAATTTATATTTACCTAATATTAGCATACAATTTCCCAAAGCGGTATGTCAATTTAGATTTATACATTATTAGTGAGCTCTCTGTCCCACACCTGCTGGCACTCTGTCTTTCTCTCTCAAAAATAAATAAACATTAAAAATTTTTTAAAAATAAAAGTTGGATATTCACTTTTATATGGGATGTCTCTTAAAGTCAAAATGAAGAATATGAAGAATAGAAAATCAGTTGAATGGGTCCACCTTAAGAGGGTGGGGGCTCTTGCAATCAGTGCTGTCTATCTGCCATTATTGTCAATTCAATTTCAGGTCAAATTAGCCTGAGATTGTACTGCAGTCCCATCCATCTGTTATATTTAAAATCTCCCCAAAGATAGAAGCGGGTTCATGCATTATGCATTTGTAGAAACATATCAGTACGAGTATGGAATGTGGTATCTGGAATACACAATAAAGATCATTCAGTTTAAAGCCTTCTTTTGACAGAGAGGAATCTGAGGCCCAAAGAAGGAAAATGATTTGTCGAAGGTCACAATTACTGTGATTGTTTGTAGAGATTCAGACCTAATTTTGCTGCCATTGCTTTTTCAGTTCCCAGCATGTCTGCAGAGTTCAAGTTAGGTTAAATTGTTTCCTCTTCAGAAAGGGCTATGCAATTACCAATTTGTGAGAATTATTACTCTTCTGATTTAATAAATTTTCTTAACCAGCTCTTCCCCAGTATGGAGCTGATTGCTTGTATCATTATACATATTTTCTAATCTTTCATCACTGGTAACATTTATATTTAGGGATATCCATCCGTTCTTGGTCAGAATACAGAACTCTTAAGAAATAGACCTATAATACTGACTCAATACTTACAGACATTGATAATGTCTTACTTGAACTATAATTGCCACCAAATGAAGGTGGCTATACTGTGAGAAGCATATGAATTATGGAGAGAGTAAAGGAATTGGTTTATGAATTAGATAGGATGAATTTGATTAAAGTATTTGATACTAGCATTCTCTGACTAAGGAATTCTCTTTCTAAGGAAAACGAAGATATGACTCTCCTTCAGATCATTAGCCCAGGCCCCTACTTCTATCATTAATTTCTTTAAGTTTACACTAAGTGATTATTCACCTTCTGCTGTCACAAATGTAGGCATAAGGATCTCACAGATTTTACAAATCAGTCAATTCCATTTTTAGACACCCTTTTATTGAACTTAAAATACCTCATGTAATAGATTTATCATTTTCTTCTCTAATTCACACATTAGACTTAGATTTGCTTGGAGGAGCCAAGTTGTAGATCAAGTACATTACAGTTGTCTTATGGGAAAGTGGTATGCTAGTCGATGGCATCTTTATGCTTCTGAGATGCCACCCATCTGTGCTTGGGCTTAAGCCTGATTTAAAAGCATTTTTGCCATGCTTCTTTTCAAGACAATACCTAATTCAAAGGTAAAATTTCAAATAAAACATAAGAAAATTGAGGAGATATCATAACTAAAAGAAGCATCCCCTGTTTTGTTTGTTTGTTTGTTTGTTTCTTCTTTGTTTTACCTCTATACTTTCCCCTACCATGTCTCAGAATCCCAGAAAAAATATCACCCTGGACAAGAGAAGAGTCTTATTGTCCTACCTGGGCTTTACTGGCAATCTGAAAGGTTTTCACAGAAGCCCTGTACAATGGCACCTAGGTAGACCTAGACATTGAGTGACTTTTAGTTTATATAATTGTAGCAGACTTTTAAGAGTGTCCCTGATTCTTCTTTGGTCCTGCAATCGCATATCTTTATCCAGGCTTACTGAAGAAATTTCTTCAATGATTTGATCATCAGTAAACTAAAGCAGAGCCAAGTTACAAATATCTTGGTTAACACCCAAGCAAGAGCCCTTTGGTTTAATTATTTTCCAAGTATTTTGTATGCCTTTATCTTTCCCTTAAGTTCAGCATCCACAACTACTTAGTGTGCTGACTTATATGATTCAAAAATATATTTAAGACATATACTCGACCTTAGCGATTTTTTTCTTTTGCCTCCCATGAATAAACATTTAACAAAATTTAACTTTTTTGGATTTCTTTCTTTCTTTCTTTCTTTCTTTCTTTCTTTCTTTCTTTCTTTCTTTCTTTCTTTCTTTCCTTCCTTCCTTCCTTCCTTCCTTCCTTCCTTCCTTCCTTCCTTTCTTTCTTTCTTTCTTTCTTTCTTTCTTTCTTTCTTTCTTTCTTTCTTTCTTTCTTTCTTTTCTTTTCTTTTCTTTTCTTTTCTTTCTTTCTTTTCTTCCCTTTCCCTAGATGTTATAGTGGTGCTTGAGTCCAGGGATAAAAACACACAGTCCTTAAACTCTGAGTATTCATTTCCCCACATTGAAGCTAATGATTTAGGAAACAGAGTCATGGATTCAACAAAGTTCCCAGGCTCAGGGTGGTATAGGAACCAAGCTTAGCAAGTGTTGGAGGGAAGGAAAGCCCCTAGAGGAAGTGACTGAGTTGTGAATGGTAGCACTATAACCCAGCCACATTGGTTTTATTTAATTCCACAGAAATGAAATGGTAGAGTCCCCTGGAGAGCCTCTAGTTGATTATCCATCCGCATAGAGTGCTTTTTCTTCTACCTGCATCTCTCAGCTAATTCCTATCTATCTTTTAGATCCCAGATTGTCCCCATTACCAGGAAGCATTTTTCAACATTCTTCACTGTAATTGAACATTGTGCTTTGGTTTTATAGTGCTCAGTTCATTGTTTTTTGTGTTTTGTTTTTACTTTATGGCATAATTACTGTTTATTATAAATAATTTGAATGATAATTTAATTATTATTAATTTAATTATTATTTAATTAATATACATCACTTCTGATGGGGGAGCATAGGTAAGCTGAGGGCAAAAAAAGGAGCTAACATCTCGTTCCCCCCACCCTGTGGGATAGGTGTGATATTCCTCAGGCACTCCTAGCTACTCAAGAAGAAAGGAAAGGAAAGAAAACAAATGGTTAATGATGGAGATCACAGTCATATAGGACATGTTCTGGTAAATTACAAGGAAAAAGTAATATCAATAGCCTAATCTCAAGAAACCTGTAGACTCCTTTCCTGGAGCCCCAACATCACCCCTCCATAGTCGTATAGGGAACAGAGGTAAGAAGGAAATGGCAGGAGAAATTCAATCACCTTATAACCTGCAGCCCACTGACTACTAGAGGCAGGCAGAGTAAAAATTTCACTAGGATCTCCCCACTGTCTTAATGCTAATGATTTGCTAAAGGGAAAAACAACCTTAGGTTGACAATAGGTTGGCCTCCAGTTATCCTGTGAGTCTTCTTTAGTGTATGAGAGTCTCTTTGTAAACTTCCCCTTGAGTTTACCTTCCCCAATTCTTAAGTGTATAATCAGTCTTTCCACAGGGTCCCAGGCAGCTCTTTCTGCCCATGGGTCATGTCCCTGTGCTTTAATAAAATCACACTTTTGTACCAAAAATGTCTTCAAGAACCCTTTCTTGGCCTTCCGCTCTGGACCCCAATCATCACCCCCAAATTTCATCAGTTTCCATTAGATGACAAGATTCATTAACATAAAGCTGTTAGATTCCCCATAAAATACAAAAACACATAGAAGTGCATTATATACTTAGAAAACTGTCAATAGCATATAGAAAATTAGATTCATACACAAATGAGAGATTGAAGAAACACAAGTTTGGCAAACTAGGAGTCCAGAAATTTTCCACGAATAAGGAGTACCAAGTATAAACTCAAGACATAAAATGAACAATGAAGGGGTGCCTGGGTGGCTCAGTCTGTTGAGTGTCCGACTTCGGCTCAGATCATGATCTCACAATTCCTTGGTCCGAGCCCCGTGCCGAGCTCTTTGCTGACAGCTAGTTCAGAGCCCGGAGCCTACTTCAGATTCTGTGTCTCCCTCTCTCTGACACTTCCCTGCTCACACTCTCTCTCTCTCTCTCTCTCTCTCTCTCTCAGAAATACATAAAAGACATTAAAAAAATTTTTTTAAACAAAATGAACAATGGAGTACTAAGGGAATGACACATCTGGTTATGGCAGGAAAACGGTATAAATACTGCTTGGATCATACCACATTAATCAAAGCAACTTTGAATTTCACAAATTATAGTGTAAGATTGGGGGAAAAATAGGTACATATAAATTTTCAATGAAACCACTTGCTATTTTTAAGTTTCTGCAGAGCCTCTTTCACATCTTTGTTCCGTAGACTATAAATCAGAGGGTTTAACATGGGAATCACAAGGGTGTAAAACAATGAGGTCATTTTGTCTTGATCAAGAGAGTAGGAGGAACTCGGCCGGAAATACATGAAGAGCATGGTTCCCTGGAAAATTGCAACAGCAGTTAAGTGGGAGGTGCAGGTGGAGAAAGCTTTGAACCTCCCCTCAGCAGAGTGGATCTTCAGGACTGAAAGGATTATATAACAGTAAGAGACAAGGACTACTGAAATGGTACTCAGTTCAATGAAGCCAAAAATGGTGAATATTGCTAACTCATTGACCTGTGTATCTGAGCAAGAAAGCAATAGGAGAGGGGGTTCATCACAGAAGAAATGGTTAATCTCATTGGATCCACAAAAACATAACCGGAATGTTAGTGTAGTGTGTATCAGAGCATCTGCCATTGCCAGCACGTAAACCCCAGCCATGAGCAGAGAGCACACTCTGCTGGACATGTTGACTGTGTAGAGCAAGGGGTTGCTAATGGCATTGTACCGATCAAAGGCCATCACCGCCAGCAGTAGACACTCAGAATCAGCAAACATACAGAAGGTCAAGAATTGCAGAGCACAGCCAATGAAGGGGATTGATTTGTTTTTGGCTAAAAGGTCTACCAACATTTTGGGCCCAATTGCTGTGGAATAACAGAGGTCACAGAAAGAGAGGTGGCTAAGGAAAAAGTACATAGGTGTGTGAAGCTGAGAATTTGTTCTAATTAGAATAATCATTCCGAAATTTGCCACAAGATTCGTGAGATAAATAAGTAGGAGGGTGGTGAATAGAGTCACTTTGACCTCAGAGTTATCCATAATTCCCAAGAGAAAGAATTCAGCCAAGGAGGAGCAGTTTTCTTTGTCCATTCTTCTTGGTGCTTGTTTTACACTGCTTTCAAAAATGATCAAGCAAATGGTAGATCAGGATTTGGCTTTTTTGGGTACCCAAAACACCATAAGACAAAACATGATTTTATATTGTCTTCTTTACACTCAGAAAAGAGCCCAGTGAGTGTCCCTATTAAAAAAGCATTGCTGTGTTATAAAAAACTAAAAATGTTTGGGATAGGAAGTTGATAAACTTGAATTCTAAATGCATGTCATTCCTGAGATATATTACTTGTCTTGGCTTCTGTTGTCCAATGTCAAGTAATAGATCCAAATAACCTGAAAGCTCACCCTAGAGCCAAAGTAATATAAGAGAAACGACAAAGTTTTTAGAAAGTTCCAGAAGATACTGGATAATATGAGTTAGAAAAAGAAAAAGTTTAAATTGCTTTATTGAAGAAATATAATTGATTTTATCACTGACCATGATACTGTAGATAACAAATGAAAATTAGTATGGTTTAGATTTTGGTGTATGCTGACTTCAGTGTTTACTGAAATATGAACTTGGTTTATACAACTATTCTATCACTCTTCCTCACTGGTTTCCTACAGCACTTATAATCCATGTGTACGACTGACCTCTGCTATAGGACAAATACCTTGAAAGACAAAGAGAAGTAATAAAAAGAAGTGGGAACAACAGACTATCACGTGAAATTCGCATATCTTTGAATTCTAAGTTGTCTTTTCCATTAAAACAAACAGCAAAGAAAAACAAATGTTTCTGAGATATACTGTCTTCTGTCATCTATTTATATACACATTATGTATGTGTATGTATGTATCTGTTGATAACAAAACTGGTAATGTGAGTGGTGGTCTCATTTTTATCTTTCAAGTCTTAAGTGCTATGGCATTGATATATATTGACTTGAATATGTATACGTTAGTATTCATAATGCGTTATCTCTATTATTTTTGATAAAACTAGAGCCAATGTACACTTTAAATGTACACTATTACTTACACAGTGATAGGAAGTGATGGCATACTTATTGACCTTGATTAAAATATAAATAGGTAAAAGCTTTACTATCCTTATACAAATGACAAATGAAGTGAAAACTATATAGGTCTAATAAAGAAATATCATTGTTTAGATGATAGCTTGCAGAATTTATTTAACTGACTTAAGCAGACATAAAATGATTCATTTATAAATTCTTTAATACTTGATTTTTAATTTTTCCAAGAAAAGTAAGGTGATTTCCAGTCTATATATTTTTTTAAAAATTTAGTTATTTAGAAACCTACCTGAATGAGCATCTTTTTGTTCTTATTTCTGGTACATGAACAATAAGTAGATGGCATTTTATTCTACCTGGTGACTGTTGGGACTTTAATCTCTAAAGACTCTGCTTTTGCTCTTCTGGGCTATGTGATTAATTAGCCTGTTTTCGTATTACCCTCACCTGGCCATGAATGCCGCAAAGGCTGAACTTTCAATTCTTCACTCCTTAACAAATTGATCAATGTCAGAAGTTTATCAGAGTTTATTCTAAGGCTCTGCTTATGATTCCTCTGAGTCTACACCTTCCTCAAGTGAACTGATGTCTAATTAAATTCAAATAGATTTTCTACTTGATATTATTTTTAATTCCTTTTTATTGTTCACTCTGTTTCTTCCATTTCTGAAACATCCCCTCTACCTTCCATTTAGAAACATGATAATCTTACATATTGCTTTTTTCATTAGTCATTGTTTGGTTCCTTTCTCTTAAGTACATGCCAACAACCCACATTTCAGTGTTTTTTGACTGTGTAGAGGTGGAAAACTTTTCCCTTCTAGATTCTTTCTCTGGCCTAATAATTAAATTGATATAAGACAGATTAACAGGAGAACAACAAATTTAATTTCCTACATATGGGAGCTCCATAAAAATATTAGTCTCAAAGAAGTGACCAAATCAGGCAGCATAAATTTGTGAAGAATTGACAAGACAAAAAGTCTTGACCTTGGGGTAGTAAATTAGTGTGGAATTAACAAGATTTTTTAATATAGCCTTCTCGGCCTTAAATTCCCTCTCCTTGATGATAAAGATGCCGCTTAATCTCCTGGTGTAGGGGGTGTACTTTTCACGTGGTGGATTACCTTTCTGCTCTCAGAGACATATTCTGCCCTCTTTCAACTATAGAACATCCAGTACACCTAGTACATTCTTTATCAAATTATATGCTTTATCTATTTATATATATATATATATATATATATATATATATATATATATATGTCAGTTCACATTCCTACAGTCCTTAGCATAGGATATGCACCAGTAATGAGTCAGTAAATGTGTGGTATTGAATATTTTCCTGTTGTTAGGCTGATAGATGTTCAACAAAGAAGAGTAATAAACAACCTTTCTACTTATATGGCTTACATATACAAGGATGAACTTTTGTTAAAAAATATGTTGAGATAATGCTTTTGAAGCAAAGTCAACTCCTGTTTATTGAAAAAAAGTTTTGTGTGCTATTATTCGTGGCAGTACTTTGAAAATTGAGAAAAGATGAGATGTGAATTTTGTGCCTACCCAAATCCCACCCATACAGATAGAAATGTAATGCTCCACTTTCTTATATCCTGGTCAACCATGTTGGTCCCTAACCGTTATTTGGACTTCTTCATTGGGACAGAGTTAAAACCTATATTCCCATTATTTTACCTTATGAAATGTCTCCACTCTCTTCTATAAATGTGCATTTTTAGCATTTGACCTGTGATGGAAAAGGTATGGAGATCTTACTAAACTATTTGTGGTTTTCATATGTTATTTAGCTTATCCATATATATAATCATATATTTCTAATATTATCTTATGTTTCCTGAGCTGTCTTTAACAACCTCATTTAACGGATACTGAAAGTGGGATCCAGAAGTAACCAGTAACCTTCTGGAATATCATAAACTTTGTATCTTCAAGATTCAAAGAACTTGCCCTTAATAGTTTTTTTGACTACAGTGTAATGAACTTCAGGGCATTATGTAAAGTGATGTGAGCCACACAGAAAATGACAGATACTGTATCGTATGACTTATGAGTCAAATCTAAAAATGCCAAACTCATAGAGACTTGTAGAGTGTGGAATGATATTTACCAGGGGCAACAGGGGTATGGGAATTGAGAGATGTTGGTCCAAGTGTACAAACCTGCAGTTATAAGATGAATAAATTCTGATGATCTAATGAAAAACATTGTGATTATAGTTACGATATTGTATTAGATACTTCAAAGTTGCTAAAAGGCTAGATTTTAAATGTTCTCACTACAAAAAAAATTACATGATGTGATGCAGGTGTTAGTAATGTTATGGTGGTAATCATTCCAGTATATAATTGTATCAAATAAACACTACATTTCACAAATCCAAGGAGTTAAAAAATAAGTAAAATGATGCCTCAAGGTTGTTCAAACAGGCAGTCTTGGAAGACACTCTGTATTGGTCTTGTCCTGAGTGACATTTTATAATAGATGAATTATTGGAATATGCTGACAAGCACAGATGTTTGTTTGTTGTGAAAGTCTATTTTAGATTATAATGTAAATAATGTATTCTTGCTCTATACTTTTCCCTATTGCAGTTAATTTATTTCTTTAAAAAAAATCAAGTGAATGTCAAATATGTGTGTTCAATTAATCATTTGTGTTATCCAAGAACTTTCTTTCCCAAACTGATTTTCTCATCAGATACTTCTCTGTCTCCAGGGAAGACAAATTTCTTCAGTTTGCACTCAGTGTAGACAGAACCAAAATTTACCTTCTTAAACTGCCCCTGTGGACCAGTTAGTCTAACTTCCCTTCAAAGTTTTCCATTAAAATCTGAGCCTTGGTGATTACATTATTATTATAAATGGGATGATTGCCATCCTAAAGGGATTCTTTTTTAATTGAAGTTGGCTCTCTCACATTATGAAAAATTGTCTGTTGGAATTTAAGACATAAGAGACAAGCAAGTGGGGAAAAAAATGTGTCTACATGACTTCCCTGATGCCACCGAGCTTCTATACATAATCCTATAAAGGCAGCTGTCTACTGATAAAGTCTTGTCTCTAGAAAATAGGTGTATGGCCATGGGCACCTGGGTGGCTCAGTCAGTTAAGTGTCTGACTTTGGCGCAGGTAATGATCTCACAGTTAGTGGGCTTGAGCCCTGTTTTGGGCTCTGCATTGGCAGTATGGAGCCTGCTTGGATTCTTTCCCTCTCTCTCCCTCCCTCACTTGCATGCTCTCTCTCAAAAAACAAAAAAGCAAAACAAAACAAACAAACAAAAAAAAAACAACTTAAATTAAAAAAATGAAATAGAATAAAAGAAAATAAACAAAAATAAAAAAGAAAATAATTGAATGGCCCTGAGTCATAGGCCACTATGAGAAAGTTTAGTGCATGATAATAGGACAAGAGGAAAACCAGGTTCACTAAGTCCCCTTGTTGCTTTAAACAGGATTTGGAGTGCTTATGGATTGAATAAGATATCTTTGCTTTTTTTCAACAACAAAAAATATAATTATTCATAGAAATATTTTATGAGAGTTTTCCCATTTATTTTATAAAAATGGGCTGGATTTATTGTGCATAAAGCATTTCTAGGGATAAAATTTTATAATAACATTCTGAAATTTCTTATAATGTAAAGTTGAATGGGCCTTGCTTTTAGAAAGCTTCTTTGATGTGTAATATACACACAGAGAATGCATAAATGATAAATATACTGTTAGATAAATTAAAAACAACAACAACAATAACAAACACCTGTATAACCATGACCCAGACGAAGAATGGGAACATTATCAGAATCAACAAAGTCTTCTACATGCTCCCTCCTAGGATGTTGATCATTTAGCCAGAGGAGTCAATATTTTCCTGACTTTTATTATGATAGATCAGGTTAGTATATTTTTGAATCACACTTATGTGGATGCTTACCATATGCGCTGCTCCATCCAACAACAAACTTGGGCAATCCATTCATGATATTTT